TTTTTTGGTGAAAAGTGATATTTTCGACTTCTTGTTAAAAACCGCAAGTCCAATTGCTTTGATACTACATATATAGGTACTACATGTGGACCTCTCTCAGATTTGTTTATTTCGTGATGATATCTTCAATTCTCTAATTTTGGTGAATATTTTTGTCATTTTTGGTAAAAAGTGATATTTTCGACTTCTTGTTGAAAACTGTAAGTCCGATTGCTTTGATATTACATATATAGGTACTACATGTGGACCTCTCTCAGATTTGTTCATTTTGTAATGATATCTTTAATTCTCTAATTAATTTATTTTGGTGAATATTTTTGTAATTTTTGGTAAAAAGTGATATTTTCGACTTCTTGTTAAAAACTGTAAGTCCGATTGCTTTGATACTATTCATATTGTTCATTTTCTAATGATGTCTTCAGTTCTTTAATTGAAATGTGCATTGCTAACAGCGGAGCTATCTCAGCCGATAGGCTGCTTGTCTTGATTTTATTTTATTTATTGCCATACATAGCCTGAGAGTTGTGCCCTCCGCAGTGCTCCAAACCCAACACACGTCTGACAGAACGATGTAGTTTTTCAATTCCCCCGATGAGTTTTTGTCGGTACCAATCAAATTGCAAGATCGTCAGATAGTGACAGCCATCAAAGAGTAACTAATATTCACAGCAGAGTTTATTTGTTTGTTGACATAATGTGTGATAAGATGCTGGCAATTTTCCGTCCAATGTTTATCATCTTATTGCAAACAGGGCTTTGAACTGACAGTGTTACCATGACCACCAAAATTAATATTCATTGAAACTCATTGCAAGAAGGCATGGTGAACTTTGCAAATTCGTAGTATTGATCTTCTCGACGAGACATGCACTATTTTTTCAGGCGTAGTGAGGTCTGATGCCATTCGACAATTTCACTTTTTTGGTTGATACATGTATGTAAATTAAGTACTTGTGAACATCTAAACTAAAAATGGAACCCACTGTTTCCTTGCTAACTTGACACCCAGTAAAATGGGTAAAATTAATTTAATGGTGGACTGAGCTCACCTCTTATGATAGTTAAAAAGTAGCCTAAATTTTGCTTAATAACTGTAAAAATGTATTTGCAACGTCAAGCAATCGCATTTTTGTCGATGTAGGTACGGTACTACTATATTTATGGTAATTTATAAAATGTAACATTGTTTTAAAAATATATAATAGTGTAGAGAAAACAGAACTGATACCTGAACTGTCAAAAATGTTTTTTGATGTCATTCATCACTGTAGATGAATGAATTATTCAATGCTAAGTAAAACCCAGTGAAAATAAATGGTTTTACAGTATTTAAACCTTTATTTCCTGAACAATTATTGCTAAATGAGCAAGTTTTGTTTATCTGAATTCATGAATCACATTGTAATTTTCATTTTTTTTGTCTTTTACAGCCTGAATTTTATCAAGTATGTCACACCAAGGCGGACTATGATGAACATGGCCCTAGTATTTGCAGACATAACCCAGTGTTTGGTACTATGACATAAAAAACATGGGAACAAGTGGTGGCAACTTATTATAATCTCTTTTTATTACGGTACATTTAATGAAAATTGGATGTACAGTTGGTTTCTCTATCCTCACTGTATTGAAGTTTTGACTTTTGATTACAAAGTGCAAAGTACTGCAGATAATGCAGTTACGAATACACCCATAGTTTATCAATCAATTAGGTCAAAATTTTTGTAACAGTTATAGAAATATAATTACAAGTACATATAATATTCAGTTCAATTACTACAGTAATTTGTTGGTTGTCCGACACTGGTTCATGTGTAATACAACTTGAATCAAACAAATACAATTTTTTTTCTAAATTCGACAGTATTCCGGATCTCAAATTTGCAATGTACATTTGATCTGTGTACCATAGCCTCAACACTGTAATATGGATATTTGGAAAACTATAACAAAACTAGCCGTGAATTAGAATAATTTTATTACAAAAATCTTCATACAAAATGCAATACAAAAGTATCATAAGCATCTCTGATGTATGACTTTAATGTTTTACTCCTGTAGCATTGATTCAACATAGTTTGATCTGGGCTTTTAAATGAAGGATTCTGTTTTCTCGGGCTCTCTTATGAAATTATTTTGTAGTGGAAAGTATCATATTTGTGTGATTCCCATCAGAAAATCGCACAACTTCAATCCAAGTGAAAGTGCCACACCTATCAAGATAGATATTCTACTGTGATTGTATTAATTATTCACTGGGTTTCAATTTTTTATTTTCACTGAGAAAGGTAATCCCCACTACCGGTAATAAAAATTTATGTATGATTAATGAGACCACGATTTCTAATGTTTATAAAATTAGATGCCAATGAATTCTTTTACAGTATTTTGTTCACATAGCAGTGTGATGGGAGCGACACCGTAGGCAAACAGTACATCTTTTTAAGCCAAATCTAAATTATGTTTTTCCTGATTGATAAAAATTATTGTAAAGCAGTACAACACAGTACAATACTTATTAGCACAGTTGTTTGGTAAATGATTATTTATGACTAAACTGTGAACTCTACATAAGTGACCCTGGGTAATTATGCTTCTAAACCTTTTCTCGTGAAATTAGGACGCTTCAATAAATGGGTTAAATCAATTCCAAATCCTTTTCATGCATGTATAAATTTCTGCATACACATTCAGAATCATAAGATGAAGGCTTGCAACTTTATTTTCTATCAGCGTACACACAAATGTACTTATTATACTGTAAAATACTTTATTATTGCTGAAGGAATAATTCAGTGAAAATAAAATCCAGCAAATATATATTTTACATTCAACTCGTCAAAAAATCAGTAAATTCCATATACAAAACACCCAAAAAGTTTTTTTAGCAAAAATTAATTCCAGCTAATATAAAGTACTTGACAGTAATAAATATATTTTTATGATCAGCAAAGAATATTAACAAATCTATTCTGTAATCATTTCAAATAAAACCACTGACAGTATAGATCTTCATGATTAGGTACTGTTTGCGCCTTGAATATACAATACATTGTTCATTGCTGTGATAAATATACATGTACGTGTCTCTGTTAATGAAACAACTTACTGGTAACATTGTCACCGTAGGTTAGTACCAATGATTAAGCATAATTTTGTATCAACATTTGCATAAACAAATGAGATCAGTGTGACAGCCTCTTAAAGTTCATAGGACACAGCTATCTATGCTTGATGTGTGTATTTATAACTTCCACTTCTGTATATTTTAGTTAACGTTTTTTCATATAACGTTTTTTTTTAGCTCCGCTGTCGACTTTGTCGAGCGGAGCTTATCATATGAGTGATTGTCCGTCGTCGTCCGTCGTCCGTGTCAATGTTTTACTTTTTCGACTTCTTTTT